ACTAAAACCTATTTTTTTAACCTTAAAATAATTTTTCAAAGAGCGTAAATAATTTTTTAATACAATTTTTTTTTAATTAAAAAATATTTTTAATATTACGTCACGATAAGTATAATTGCCCATTTAAAGGCATTTTTGTCACTATCAAGACAATAAAAGAAAAGGGACATGCCTCATTAACATCAGCATACAACTTAAAACCTATTACCTTCCGCCTACTCAATTTATTCCCCAAATAAAATACGAGAGGTGCATTAAAAAAAGACGAAAGCGCAGCCTCTGTTATCTCGTTATCTGTTCGACTGGGCCCCATAAAGTTTTATGGTGTATATTCAACCCACGCCATTGCGGGCCGAGTCGGGACAGAGCTTGTTCGTAAATAAAATAAATCTACTAATTCTACGCAGTAGTAAAGGGTTAGCTTTACCTATGCATATGTGTGCATGTTGACTTGGAGACGGGTTTGACAATGTTTTAAAAAAATGGTAAATAAATTTCAACTGTTTATAATTACTCCTCTCCGGGGGGAAAGGGATTGTTAGTGATGGAGACTGAGAATCCTATTGCTAGCAATATAGCCAACCAGGTCGAGCTCCTCGCAGTTCTTTCCTGGAAACTATCATGGTTAATTCCTGATGAATTCATCATGATGGGCTGACTGGCCTGTTTTCATTCTCATTTATCACCCTTCACTGGTGCTCCGTCAGCGTATCCCATTAGCGCAGGCGGAGCTAACATACCATTTCCACGCATCAAAAAAAATAGCGTCTAATCGGCTAAACCAGCTACTATGCAATTTGGTAAGTAACTGTTAATATTTTTCATAAGTCAGCCATTTTGAAATGCAAAAAAAAAGAAAAAAAAAACATAATTGTATGAAGATGTATGAAAGGAAACCTGTTATTAAATGACATATGATACAAACTTTTTGACTCACGTTCATTATGACTATAATAATTATGCTTTTGCATACAAAATAAATATCAGAATATTACTGCTTTTTTTTTATTGGTGTGATCAGTGAATTAATTCGCTTTCAATGTTTAAATTTAATAGTTTTTTTTTGATACAACTTACAATGGCAAACAAGCTGACGGCCCACCTTATGGAAAGTGGTGACCGTCGCCTATAGACATGAGCAGTACCATGGACATAACAGAATATACTGTTTCGCCCATGATACCCCCTATGCGTTACCATTCCTGAGGACTCAGGTGTTATTCCTCTGTACCCTGTAAGTTCACTGCCATATCCCACCCTTCAAACTGAAACACAGCCATGCAAACACAACTGCTTCACGATTGAAACACGAATGGGACAGAGGTACCCAAGCAATCGACTTTTGTACAATGTCTTCCTTTGGTGAATTATTATCATAGGAATAGTATTATTATCATTTTTAACAGTTAGATATTAAAACGATTAAAATCGTGTAAACCTAAATAGTTTATTTCTTTTCCGTTACTTACTATCTTCACGATTTGTGTGTAATCTCTTAATGCAAATTAAATTTAGTAATGCGGATTATCAGTTCTAATAATATACCCTAACAGGTCGACCTCCCCGTGGTCTCCCCTGGAAACCATCGTGCTGAATTCCAAGTGTATTCATCACGATGGGCTAACTGACCTGCCTATCACTGGTGCCCCGCCAGCGTATACCGTTAGCGCAGGCAGGTTACCATTCCATTATCATCCATTAAAAAAAATGCAAATAGAGTGCTTATCTGTCTACAAATTTTGTTATATGTAAAATACGATGAATTGTATTGGTGTTGATTATTGATGCTTTTTAATGTATAACTATGAAATATCTTTTACTATTCCATAATTTTATTTTTTTATACGTATATCGAAGAATATTTTCTAAAATATAAAAAAAAAACCATCAAACGAAATATATTTTAGATCGCTCCACTTTGTCCCCACAAAACATCCGAGCCCTTGAACTATGATCCTATGATTCGCCCTTCGATTTCGTCATTACTCCTAACACAGCAACATGACCCTTATGTCCAATAGCAATAAGACGCAACGGAAATTGCATCACCCGTGCATCCAGGGTTGCGTATGTTATGATTACGTCATAATTTAGCCCCCTTTTAACAGAGCGAGACGGCAACATCTCTGCACCTTGTCTGCTCATGGAAATTTACCAGCTTAGCTCTTTGTTCTTTTATATCGCAGTGGAACACTTACCGGGTTAAGTTCGTGAAACTTTTGTATAGTATTGTTAATATTGTGAAACGTGACGCCGAATCGTGTGCCCCATGTGGCTCGGACCACTGGTCGATATTGGAATGAATTTAGTATTAAATAATGACAAACTTTTTTTTATACAACTTAGAATGGCAAACAAGCTGACGTCCCACCTAATGTAAAGTGGTAACCGTCGCCTATAGACATGAGCAGTACCATGGACATAACAGAGTATACTGTCTCGCCCATGATATCCCCCATGTGTTGCTACTCCTGAGGACTCAGGTGTTATTCCTCTGTACCCAGTAAATTCACGCCATATCCCACCCTTCAAATCGAAACACAGCCATGTAAACACAACTGCTTCACGGTTGAAACACGAATGGAACAGAGGTACCCAAGGAATCGACTTTGGTACAAAGTCTGCCTCTGGTAAAAATGTTTGCCATTCTTAATTGCATAAAAATGAATATAATTAATTCTTTATCTGTAAATATATACCATAATTCACTAAAAGGAATACAAAAAGTTTTCCGAAGTCGGCTAAAAAGATAAAAACAAAACCAAGCTTGTTTCAGGGTTTACATCTTAAGTCGAGTCCTGCGTTCTGCTGAGTGCCCTGGAGGCTTCGACCATCTGTCAAGTGTCCCTTTGATTTTCCATAAGACCACCTTTTCTGACTTCGAGTGTTTTCGGTTGAGCACATGGATCGAGGAAAACTATTCCTTTGTTACGTATACGATCTGAAATGGACTCACTGTTAATAGTTTAAGGTTGTTATTCAGATGTCATATTATTAGCAAATGCAAAGGAATTGTGAAATTAAATTTCTAAAGATACAGATAAAAATATATTTTGTTAAGTAGTCTAATCTGTCTTACATACATACATACATACATACATATCTGTCACGCCTGTCTCCCATTAGGGTAGGCAGAAACAATGGAACGCCAAATGCTTCGATTCAAACAAACCTCTTTCGCTTCCTCCACATTCATCAATCTTTTCATACACGCTCGCCGGTTACATGTAGGTACTTTTAATTTAAGTTTACTTTTAATTTTTTTTCTAATCTATTTAATTTCTAAAAAATAATACTAGCACGAAACTTGGGAATTATTGGATCATTATTTTTTTTTTAATTTGTTGAAAACCGAAGACGGTTTTTATGAAGTGAAAAGTTGGAAAAAATTAACCGAAAAAGGTTAAAGGAGATTTCCTTTTAATTTTTTTTCCATACAAACTTAGTTTCCAATTCAAACGCTGTTCAATAGCTTTTAATAGAACGACGTTCCGTTGGGTGAGCTATTAATAATGATAAAAAAGTCTTTAATGACTTAATTATTTTAATTAAATAATGATAAATTTCATTTTGTAAACAGTCCATTGTAGCACAATTAATTACACATTGTCTAAATAACGCTGATCTTTTGACGCCACGAGTTATTGGTAACTCCATCATCATCATCATTTCAGCCATCATCCGTCCACTGCTGGACATAAGCCTCCCCATAGACTGCCATAAAGAACGCATCCACTGACTCCCTGCAATGCATTTCAGATCGTCACTCCATCTAGTGGGGGGTCGTCCTACACTGCGTTTGCTTGTACGTGGTCGCCATTCACGTATTTTTCTTCCCCATCGATATGATAATGGCTTTCTATAACCACTTTTAATTTCATTACTAATTTGTATTACTTTAAGAATCTTAATATTTGTGACTAGTAACGTTTGAGGGGAAAGGGATTGTTAGCAATGGAGTTTGACAGCCCCATTGCTAGCAATATGCCCTATTAGGTCGACCTCCACGTGGTTCCCCCTGGAAACCATCGTGAACAATTCTTGTTGAATTCGTCACGATGGGCTAACTGACCTGCTTCATCGTCACCTATCATCTTTCACTGGTGCCCCGCCGGTGTATACCGTTAGCGCGGGTGGGGTTACCATTTCATTATCACCCATTAAAAAAAAAAAGACTAGTAACTTTTGCAGTAAGTACTGTTAGAACTAAAATAATTGATTTTAAAATTCTACAAAACAATTTTTTTATACTACTGAGGTGGCAAACAAGCATACGGCCCACCTGACGGTAAGTGGTTACTATAGCCTATGAACAGCTGCAATACCAGAGGTATTACGCGTGCGTTGCCGACCCTGAAGAAACCTTTTAAAAAACCCCATGCTGTAGGCTCTTGGGAAAACCTCGGCGGGGAGCTCATTCCATAACCGGAGCGTTCGTTGAGGCTGTAGGACATGAGGGTGAACTCCCTGTCGATTCGAAGTGGCTGTGGGCATCATATTGAACAATTCCTCTGAGCACAATCCGTTGTACAAGCGGTAGAACACGCAGAGTGAGGCAAAATCTCTCCTAAGACTTAAGGATTCGATACCGCATGTGAACCTGGGATCATCCACAATTCTCATAGCTCGTCGTTGCAACGAGTCGAAGAACTCAAGATGGTATTTCGGTGCTCACGCCCATAAGTGACATAATTTGAAAAAATACCACCAATATAGATTATTTGTGAAATTTTAAACTCAATCGAGTTTAATATTTATTAGCTACGTGGTTCCCATAATAAGATTTGTCAACTTTGAAGTCGTGTTCCCAAATTTATCGTTACTACAGCTAGAAGCTATCATTCGAACACGACGAAAAATTATCTCGTACACTTTTTGGGTATAAAACAAGATTGTAATATTAATGACGATGATATTATTGATACAGATAACAAAAATATATTCATCATTTATAAATAATTTGTTATTATTAATATAATCAGTTGTTATTCCATGACTGTCATCGAGCAACATCGATTAAATAATAAATCATTATTGATAACTGAATCAAAAACGTCTGGAAATTATATTTAATCGTGATAACGTAAGGTCGCCGTGTTACCTAATAAATAAAACACATTCAGACACACAAATCTAGTAACTCGAAAGGGGATAGACAGAGCATTATGTCTATGCGAGGTATTTGCGACTTTTGTGAGTGAATTTTTTTTTATACAACTTAGAATGGCAAACAAGCTGACGGTCCACTTGATGGAAAGTGGTAACCGTCGCCTATAGACATGGGCAGTGCCATGGACATTACAGAGTATACTGTTTCGCCCATGATACCCCCCAAGCGTTGCCATTCCTAAAGACTCAGATGTTATTCCTCTGTACCCTGTAAATTTACGCCATATCCCACCCAAACAGAAACACAGGCATGCAAACATAATTGTTTCACGGTTGAAACACGAATTCTATATGTGCAATCGATTTCTGAAGACCCCATGAGCTTTATATGGTATCCTCATTTGAGTCATGTATAGAAATCCTATAGAAAGGAAAGGTTTCTATTACGATTGGATTAATAGATGGAACGTATAAGATAATAAAGTATAATAAGGTAAAGGAAGCACAAGTGATTGAATAACGATAAGAAATAATCATATCCCATAAGCAGAATTAGGATATCAATGTTTCTAATGAAACAGCTAGTGTAATAATGGTATTATTGCTGTAATAGTTGGCTAGACGTCTACGATTCTAGTTTATGGGAGTAGTCTTATTACTGTATCATCACTATAATCCTCCATTATCCACTGATGAGTACTGGCCATTCCACATAATGCTGAATTTATAACACCCAAATTTTTATTGCGTTTCAAATGTCCCACACCAGTTTAAGAATCCACGAAATGCTCAAAATCAATACTTATTATATTGTACCAATTGCCTTGTCCCGTGAGAAATTAAAGGCACAACCCATATCACCTAGACCTCAGCCAATTTGGGAATGGCAAACAAACTGACGGCCGACCTAATGAAATTCGTATCGCTTTAATGCCGTTACAAGTACAAGAACGAGAAGTATTTTCACTTTGAAAGGGCAAACCGATGAACTATTTGATTGAGAATGGTAAACGTAATCTGTACATAATTATACCCAAAAACTTTGTGATGCACTTGCTTTTAGGTACATATTTCTGGTTTCAGTCTTCATGCATTGTTATTTACATGACCAGAGATAATCTTCGTGTCCAATAATTTCACGGCCATATCCTTTCAAGACTTAAATATATGTTCCTATTCTATATGTGCTTTTATATTATGGTCTAAGCACCGTTGCTATTTTAAAATAAATCTACAATGTCTTTAGGTTCTATTTGTAGTATTGTTTCTTTTTTACCATAACTGCATTTCATAGCAGAGTTGGAGTGATGTTCACGACATTTTTTTTTATTGGATGAAAATGGAATGGCGCTAAAGGCTGTTGGCAGAGCATCAGTGAATGGTGATCAATGAGGACGAAAACAGGCCTGTTAGTCCATCATGATGAATTCATCTGGAATTAATTATGATAGTTTCCAGGAAGAATCGCGAGGAGGTCGACCTGATTGGGTTTATTGCTAGCAATGGGATTCTTAGTCTCCATTACTAACAATCCCTTTCATCATACAGAGTCCTGAAAATTAATATAAACAGTAAATATATCTAAATATAATTTATATAGGCTTCGGCTTTATGACTTAAGGAGGCTTATCGACTTGTGAGACCATAATGTTGCGACTAATACGTGTATATCGCAAACTTGTTCATTCACCAATGTTGCACAAGAACTAATGTTATTGCATGTTGCCAGCTCCTTATCTCCAACTTAAGTATACGGATTACTTGCCCGTATACATATAACGTATTATAGATATAAAGATGGAACATTATTACTTTTATGCAGTCAAAAATATGGTAGTATAAGTAGATCATTAAAATAGACAAAGAATCGTGAACTCTCAAGCATTTCCTTTGTAAAGAGCTGCTTTATAAAATCCTTTATTTCTAAGCCAAAGGGGGACTTTGTGCAAAAAGTCGTTTGCTTGGGTACCTCTGTCCCAATCGTGTTTCAACCGTGAACCAGTGTGTTTAGGTTTAAAGGGTGGGATATGGCAGTGAATTTACTGAGTACAGAGGTATAACACCTTAGTCCTTGGGAATTGCATCGCATGGGGAGTATTATGAGTGAAACAGTATACTCTGTTATGTCCATGGTACTGCTCATGTCTATAGGCGACGGTTACTACATTCCATCAGGTGAGCCATCAGCTTGTTTGCCATTCTAAGTTGCATTAAAAAAGCTAAGTTTCGTTTTATTTTATGAAACTTTTGACATTTATATATGTCAGCCTATGTAATTTATTATTGTGTTTAACCTACCACATAGCAAATAATTTACAAACAGCTACAATTCATTTTGGTCAAATAAAATATGCTACGTGCAGGTTTGGCGCAGTTTTTAGTTTATTTTGGTTAATACACATAGCATATTTGTTTGTACTGACCCCAATTCACCGTACAATGCTTGGAATCAGTCAGTTTTGTCATAATTTTCAAAATGTCGCAATCTTCAACAAGTGCACATACCAGATATTGGTTTAACAACTACGATATGCTCTAATAATAACCGCTGTATTTAACAATGAAAGAGCTAAGATGTTGTATTACCTAGAATTTTAGTACCGTCGGAAATGAGCAGGAGTAACAACCAACAAAACTCCGAGACAGATATTTATGGTAAAGTTAAAATAACTCCGTGTTAACTTTACCATAAATATCTGTCTTTCCTCGTAAGAACCGAGATGTAATACTCTGTTATTAAGAAAACGATGTTGCCCAAATTAGAACGACCGGGAAGGGAGTATGGGATTTCATACGCAAAACATCGGCTCATCCAAGGCCGATGGTATTAATGGTGGAACAAAAGCTACACAAACAGCTCTCCAGCTGTACACTGACATATATTCAATTACATCATGGTCCCCCAACAAAGGAAGTACAAAAACCAAGGCCATCTCCTGTTACACGTGTTTACTAAAATACGCGTCTAAACACTTAACCCATTTTTTTATGAACTCGATCGCAAAAACAAATATAAATCACTTTTTTGAAGACTGCCTGAACGTTCGTGAACGTTCTAACCTGTCCGTGAATATCTGTATGCACTTGAAAATATCAACAATCCATTATATGCTTTAAATTCAAAATTGTAGAGTTTATCTTCCTCTATTCGTATCGTTGGTTAAAGATTGAATGCACACATAAAAGTTGACAATTTAATTTCAACTTAGATGCTATCGTCATAAGATTTTAATTTCTATGTTCCGCGAGCTGTTTTCTCTTCAGAGAAATTTAGAACGTTTCGCCTGCGCTTAAAACTGTTTTTACTGTGCCTAAGCCAGTCAATAGATGGATTGTATTCAAACTAGCAGAGCGCGGGGCCTGTTGCTAAGGCAAATGATGCGTTCCACTTTGGACCAGTAAATATGTATAATAATATTTCTTAGAGAATGATTAATGTAGGAATTCATTTTTAGTGTATGTAAGTAAATAAAATTCAAGCTATAAATTTTTTACAATTGATTTCAAATACTTTTCAATTTGAATGCTTTTTTACAATTTCATTGACTAGTACTGATACTAAAAGTTTTTTCTAGAATAATTGTAACAAAATTTTATTTTTCAATTAAAAATAAATATGCACGCGACAGTAAACACCGATGAGGTAGACAGTAGCATTTGTCAATTATTAGATACATTTGTAGTGTAAGAGAATTTTATTTGACAATGAAAAGAGACACAGATACATACAACTCTATGTACATTTATTTAAACTTTTTCAGATTCGCGACGTCTGACTAGGTTTACTTAACAGTTTGCGGCTACAATGTACTACTTTTTACTTTTATTTTCTTATTTAACTATCTCGTAACAATTACAACATTCTGTTTAAGTAACATGTATATATACATTTGTATTACGTCATAAAAAGTCATAACTGCACATTAAGTTTACATACAATAAAATCATAAAAAGACATAATATGTAATTGTATGTTTATAAGTGACGCTTTATGTATGAATGATCTAATGATATATATTCATACATAGCATTACTGTGTGGTCCCGCCATAGAATAGGCCACCCCTTCCTTTCCCGTGGATGTCGTAAGAGGCTACTAAGGGAAGTTAATTGTCAAGGGTTGGGTAGCGGCGTCTATTTTAAAACATCACCAAAGCCTAATTGCGGTTGTCAACCCATCTGCTAAGCGTGGCAACTACTGGCAAAACTCCTCTTTATGAGGGACGCCTATGATATACAGTACAAATATTTGTATACTGTTTAGACTGATATGATTTGATATTATATGGCTATATTATAATAATATCGTTTATTATAGTATGTTTTATGAATTCATCCAATAACTGTCTATCAGTGTGTTACTTACTAAGCGTCCAATTTGAAATTTATTATTATTATTTGACAAAAAACATAAAGTTACAAACCCAAGATACAATGGGCGCCACACTAGGCGAACCTGTATCGTGGGCATCAGACAAAGATTAACAAATCACAATGTGTTATAATAAAAAGTACACAGTGGGCGGGTTATAATATAAAAAGGAAAATAAAATTGAAATAGTGAAAAAAGTAATATAAATACGCAAGCAATTATAGAACACTAATAATATATGCCTTTAAGAGAAGCGTAGTTGAGTAAATGAATCATCCAGATTTCTAATGTTAGAACACTTAATACGAGATGAAGAGCTTACAATCATTATAATAGAAGGTAAGATAGAAGAAGGAAGGTAAACAGAAATAAAAGAAATAATCAAATACGCTTAATGCCCTTTGATATGTTCCTATCAGATCATTTACAATTACATAATAGTATTATTTATATATATACGAACGAATTATACAAAATAACTACTTTTCGTACAGCCATGCACATTTTGCGAACTAAATCCAGTTAGTATAGAGTATGTATAATCATTGTTATTATCCAAAAAATCGCTTAACGTCCGCGAAGTGTAACTAGAATAACTTTAAA